GAATTTCATGTAAATAAACAAGGTATCAACACGCGTTGTATACGTCGCTATGAGTCCCATATCGGAACAGGACGGGGCAGACGACCACCGCCCTTTAACTATAAGTACTGGCAGCCAGACTGTGCATACAAACTCGACTGTGGTGTCATGAGGCTTGCATTGCATGAAAAATTCCTATCCTCCGCCTTAAGCCTGCACAGATCACTGTAACCCTCCCCTTAACACTTGCACGAAAATTAGTGACCCACCCCCAAAACACTGACCTACCACCTCTGTCTAGTCCCTAATAGAATTGCTGTCCCTCTTGGTGAAGTTGACAAGTTTAGTGTCCGTTCATACCCAGCTCGTTGATACGGAAGAGCTATTTCTTGATACACATTAAGTTTCAGGAGACAATATTTTAATAAACTTGAATAAACTTATAAAATTTTAATATATAATAAAATTTTTAGCTGTGTTATATGTGTTCACGCTCATGGGTCGTCTGCATCTCAGCTGTTTGGGTCTGGGTGGTCGGTGTTATAAAACGCCACCTAGTGGCAAAAGGTGTCATACACAAAAGTCAATATCACGTGACACCAACAGTTTTCTCAAAATGGCTGCCACTGACCGCTACGGTAGTCGGAACAAGTAAATATTGGAAGCTCCTGGTTTTTAGAAGCTCTTGTACTCACCCGTCCATGGTAGGTTACGTTTCACATTATTTGATTAACTCTTTGAGTTAATATCACCGCGTGATTCTGCATGAATAACAATTAATTAAAAAAACACACAGATCGCTCCAAAACAAGGGTCAACTGTGTGTGCGTGGTGTGGGCGACACCCAACGATTCGACCGTTGCTGTCACTTTTACATGTTCTATTATAATCTTCTGCCAGTCAGCTATGCCAGGAAACTACAAAACAGTGAGGCTGTTGTCTGCACCATAATCGGCCTTTAAAACTTTGTTTATACTTATAACAATGCGCTAATCGGGGGATAATCGCTGGCCCGGTTGTTGTGCTGGTTGGTTAACAGGTTTCGCTCGTGAGCAGCATTCACAAACAGTGATGTTCTTTGTTTTTCTGTTCTCTTTTGTCCGATTTTCATAGGTGGCTAGATATGAACTCTCGTGTGAATCAATGAAATGATGTATTATTTGATGCGATAAACGTCAATTTCTGTACGTTATATCACGTTCTATGATCGATCAAGTGGGCGGATTCAACTTATCAACGGATATGGCTCGTTCGCACATTCAGTTTTCGTAATTGTTCTCGCGTCGAGAATAGAAGTTATATATTCACTGTTTTATCAGGGTGTGACTGATTGTCTTGTTATTAGCAAACAAATGGTAACACACGCCTATTTGAATCACCAATCGGGTGCTCAAATGGTTACAACGTACGTGTACGTAATGTAATTGTTAATAAAGAAAACTAAATTAAACAGATACTACGTCTTACATTAGTTTTCAAAAAGACCTGAACCATAAGGAAAGTAAACATAAACTTTAAATGATTGGTCATTCACAATGTAGGTCAGTGTGACCTTACAGGTAAATTGATTCTACTTGTAATAATTTTCTGAATAATGTAAACCAGTCATGATTTAGAGAAAAGACACAGACTCAATAGATTATCAGCAAAGGAAATATTTTATCATAAGAATCATTAGATTCTTTCTGCCCATATATAAGTTTATCTGTCATGCCTGGTTTGGTGATGGGGTGAAAACTAGTGAGTAAATCAATTAGGTATTTTGGTAAAGACCTACATGTGTTTACTTCATCCATGTGTCATAGCTAGAAGAGATCAGTTCAATATGAACTACATTCCGGAATGTAATCCTGCTATGTATCCTGAAAGTATTTTATATTCATGCTTGATTTTAAGTAGAGATTATTTATATATAAACCATGATCCAGTTTATAAAGTAGTAACCTTCCCTAACTCAACTATTTGTTTACAGAATGACACACCACTAACAAATACAACAATACAATAATGGCAGATGATTCTGAGACATTAGATGAGGTATTTTCCAAATATGGACATTCCTCCAAGAAAAGTAAAGAAGAGAAAGAGAAACCCAGCGAATTTGTCAGTCAACTGCAGGAACGAGCCAAGGTAGGAAATCTCCATCTTTCATTTATTTCTGACTTGCTTAATAGCAATCACTATTAGTTTACATACCGGTAGAACAGATATCATCCTTTACTCGTCTAGTAGCCAATGGTTTAGTATCTATCATGTGATAGTTTTTGTTTTGTTGGTTATTCAGTGTTGGAAATTACTGCCCACCCGTACACCCAGGACAGTTAGTTTTTCTGATACCAATTTTCACTAAATAATAATATTACCAGTAAATAAAGTTGGATTAAAATAAATGCCATTCTTCTGTGATTGTAAAAAAATAATACCGTGCTATTCTTTTTTTAAGGAGTTCAGTTTGTATTGTGTGTTATGTGAGGTAGACACAGTGTTGTCAGCTCCTACATAAATATTTCAAAAAACTTACACAGCAAAATCAGCGCAAAAAATGTCATTTTCACCAAAGATACAAACACTTTTATTTGCTTGAATGCATTCCTTGGTGTACTTGTGATCTTTGTAATGTAATATATACTCAGCATGTTCTCTTCAGATGTGACCGGATTTCTCTATCCTGGTTTGCAATTAATTTTCAATGTGTTATGACAGTATTGTGCAGTATGAAACGATCATTACACATACTTTCTATGTTTTGGCATGTTTGTAAGTGTGTTATTTACTCCAACATAATTACAATACAGATACATTTTGTATTGATTTTAACATGGTTGTAATTAAATAAGATTAAATTGAGAAATGATATTTATTATATAATGATACTCCGAACAAACCACCTGTTGCATTGTGACTGTAATGCACTGCAAACAAAATCTCCTTCCAATTCCTTTCACCCCTAAACAAAAGCGTGCAAGTGCAAAAAAATGGGAAGAAAGATTAAAACAAACCTTTGCTTTGTACATGTTTTTATTATCCTTTATGTATGTTGTTATGTTGCACTGCAAAAATGTGATTTTATCTAAGAAAAATATAAAATGCATGTAATTACCACATTGCCTGATAAAACCTCCAAGTGATGTGTTAGAAGGAATATTTCTCGGGAAACTAGTATTCTACACTATGAAAATTTCTTCAAAATGTGTCTCAT